AAAAAAAAAAAAAAAAAAGGGGGGGGGGCTTATTTCGAGTTTTCACTATTTTATATGGCTTGGAATGTTCTGAGTTTTGTTCCAATAAAATAGAACTCTTGAACTGTTTCAAGTTTTGTTCTGCTGGAAGGCAGCTCAGAGAATTAGCTTTGGATGGAATTGCTTTGTTTTGAACTCAAAACCACATTTTATTCTGCTTTGTACATAATCCCAGTATGCACATAATACAGTGATATACCACAACATCAAACCTCTGAAAATCGTTACAAATCTTATAACGTGTCTCAGAAGTCATACCTATTGGCATTATTCCAGATAAATATGTGTACAAATAGATCTTTGGGAGTGGTAATTTCCCTGTGTTTATTTAATTTCCCCTATGTATGAAATCTTAGTTACTCTCCTCTGTTTTTTTTTTTTTTAAACTGGATGATATAGGTTCAATTGATATTGTACACTTACTTGTCTACTGAGTTCATTGGCACAGCTAATATATATAATACAATTCGACGAGTTGGGACAGTTCTACTGGCAATGCACACCTTGAAGTATTACTACTGGGTAGTAAATCCTCAAGACCGTAGTGGAATTACTCCCAAAGGTTTAGGTATGTATTTATTTTCTTGTTCTACAACAATAATACAACATTTGGAACTGTGAATAAGTTAGGTACTGAAATAATATAATACTCTAAATATTTATAGAATTTTAGTTTAAGTATAATGTGTGCAACACTAGGTGATATGTATTCTTTTAAAACTCAAGTGTCATATTTGATTTGTTAGATAAAAAATGTATCCATGGCTTTTGTTGACCAGAGTAATGGAATTACTTTTATGGTACTTCTAGGGATGTGCCAAGCATACCACTTGAAAACTAGAATGTTTCAAGAAATACCCAAATGTTAAGTTTTTCTCCTGGATCATGCTGCTTCGGTTATTCTGGGGGTGGCTTGAACATTTTCCAGAATGAGGTAGAAGGCTTTTGACCATCCCTGGAACAGCCAAAATGGGAGAAAGCCAGAATAATCAAGGGGGAAAATGGAATATCTGGTGTTTCAGGGAGTGTTGTCTTTCTGGAACAATATGTTTTGCATATCCCTACAGGCCAAGATAATAAATTGTACAAATGTAGGAAGGTGTTTTTAAACCATCTGTTTAGTTTTAGTTTTCCCCCCATATCTGGAAATACACCTAAAATATATTGCAGTGACATGTGAAATTCACGTGGAATTAGCAGGACGTATATCTGTTAAAAGAGCCAGTTTGGAGTAGTGGTTAAGGCATCAGGCTAGAAACCAAGAGACTGAGTTTTTACTCCCACCTTAGGTATGAAGCCAGCTGGGTGACCTTGGGCCAGTCACTCACTCTCAGCCCTAGGAAAGAGGCAATGGCAAATGACTTCCAAAATATTTGCCAAGAAAACTGCAGGCAGTTGTCCAGGCGGTTGCCAGGAGTCAACACTGACTCCAAGGAACCAAAAAAAAAAACCTGTTAAAAATAAATATGAATATTGTCTCTTTTAATAGTTCTTTTGATGTTGTAAAGAGGTTGCAGTTTGCCATCACAAATGTTCAGGATCTCTTATTAACTCTTAGCTGGATTCACTCGTTAGCCTAACATATAATATGTTTGGTTAGGTTTTGGCTTAGAATGTTTGTATAAACTAAAGCATATCTTTGTGATTTGCAAAGATACAATTTGTGGCTTAGCGTAACATGTGGATCTTGCTACTTGTGGTGCATGCAACACTTGTGGCGCATGGTTAAAACAAACCATGACTTAGTATTATTTCTGTAAGTAAAGGTATATGACCAAGACTGCCCAGGGATCTTGCCTGTTTGAGATTTGACCAAGAGACTGGGGCTGGTTTGCAGTATTCAGGAGGAAAATCTCTATAGCAACAAACACTGGTCAGCAAGGAAGACAGGTTTTCTGCGATTAATAATATAAAAGGAAAGAGGGAATGAGCCTGGTTTAAGCACAAATGAGAACTGGGAGCTGTTCCTGGAAATCTGAAAAAGAGCAGAGGTCAGAAAAGTTGTTTCCTAGAAAATATAGATGTATTTCACATTTCTGATGCATAGCTTCCTATGTGCAGGAGCAACATTATGAAACAATCCACTGCTTAGGTTGGGGTTAATTTGGATGAAAACATTCTAGCTCAGACATTTGATTTGGGTTTAGTTAAGATATTAACCTGAATTAAAGCAAATGAATAATTATTGAAATATTCCATGTGGCTGAAAATAATGATTTTTTCTTTAACATGCAGGGCAAATGATTAGAGTTACTGTAATTGCACTGTAATGATCTTAGGCTGTTAAGTATGGTGTAACATAATGTGTCTTTCATATTAAGATGGACCTCGGCCTAATCAGAAAGAAATTATTTCTCTGCGAGCCTGTATACTCATGTTTATTAAACAGTTGGTGACAAAGGTAAGGAATCTTCAAATTAAGTCTGTGCTCTTCAGTTTTATTTTATTACAGAGCTGTTTCCCCTGCTTATTGTCTTCTAGATTTGTTAAGATGACATGCTGAGGGGATGGCAAGTAAAATTCTAGGAATCATCATTCCAATTCACATGGATAGCAGTGTGGGTGTGTTGGGGGGGGGCTTCTTCCTTTAGAGTGTACCTTATATTTCTGATGGCTGAACCTTTGCTGTAGGAAGTACAGACTCTGATTAATTAAGGTGAGGAAGAAGGTACAGCACTTTAAATCTTCATATCTCACTAGAGCAGCTTTCCTCTTCAATTCACAGGTAAATGTCACTGCTGCTTTCTCTTTCCTGAAGGGAAGAGAGATGCAATATAAAAAAGAGGGTTAACCATGTTCTTCATCCATGCCGTGAACCCAGTGTTGTAATAGAACTGATGTGTATACACAGAAGCTGTGCCCGTGGCAAAGTTCAAGCCATCCATCTCATCCTCTCTCTTCCTTTTGTTTTTCATCCCTCTTTCATTGCTGTCCTTGTCATATTGCCTGACTGGAAAAAGCTAAGTTAATAAAGCTCCCCAAGGATAAGTGAAATCTACTGCAGGGTGCTTGGACTTTCTCCAGCTGAAAAAAGAGGCACAAGTAAAGCAAGGGATTAACCTAGTAAGGACAAATATTAAAAAAAAAAAAACCCAAAAAACTTTTCAGAGCTTGGAATTGGTAGAATAATCAATTTTGCTTTAAGAATGTTTGACACACTCAGTATTTCCTTCTTATTTCTGACTTTACTCTAAGGAAACCCAAATTCATAGATCTATGTGATTATACTATGTATAGTTGAGAATATTGTCTCTTCTGGTATCCATTGTGTACTCCCGGAATAGTGAAAAACGGACTTCTTTCATTACAGTTTTGGACTTATATGTAAATATGTAGATATCTACTTTGGGTCTTTTCAATCAAAATTCAAGATGTATTGCTTCTAACAGTTGATTCTATGTGAAGTTCTTAACAAATTAATTATAATAGCGCTTTCAATATTTTGGTGGGATTGTTTGAAGCTAGTTTTATACTAAAACATACAGTTTGCCTATCTGGCTTGATATCTGGCAGTGACTCTGTGGGGTTCTAAGCAAGAGTTATTCCACATTACTTGAAAATGCACAAAACATATGCTCTGCTATTGAGCTGTGTCCTCTTTTTATGGATAAGCTGTGTTGTAATTCATATAGGCCCACTTGAAATAAATAAGGGCCAAAAATAAGAGCCAAAAAAAGTAAATAAGGGCATGTATAGGAACTATGCATGATAGTCATAGGGACCTGTATGGAAACTGCATAGTATACATAGAAAGTCATGTGTTAATGAATCTAAAACATTTAACAAGTATTTAATCTATGTTACAGTGTGATATTTATATTCTGCTTTTAAAATACATTACTTGAGTTACATTTGTCTTGATTTTATCTTTTAAGGATTATGGAGTGAAAGAAGATGAACTCCAGGGCATTCTGAATTATCTTCTTACTATTCATGAGGTAAACTAAGTTGGCAACTTGCTTCCAAGAACCTTTTGAGTAAAATATTCCCTCCTACCACCCAATAACTCTGAAGTAAGAAAAACATGCATAAAATTAAAACTACAAATACTGAACAATAATTTAAAAACCCGCATCTTGAAGTTCATTTGTGTAACAAGTTTCTGTAGTTTCCTATTCAATTCATTAAACTGGTACACCAGGGTGGGGGCAGGGAAAAGAACAAATGGTGAAGCTATATCTACAAAGGATTCTTTCATGGAAAACAAAACAAAAAAATAATAATTGGGTTTTTAAATATAATTCTGGCTATATGTGAATATAAAAATAAAAATTAACATGTTAATAAGTTACCGTATATACTCATGTATAAGCCCATCCATGGATAAGCTGACCCTCAAATTTTTAACCAAAGTACCATGAAAAATGTACATCTGCAATATTTTTGTATGTTTTAATTTTCACAATTGGCTTAATTATGGGTGGCACATTTTTTCAAGGTATTTGGTTAAAAATTTGAGGGTCTGCATATTCATGGATTATCTGCAAGTATGTAAGGGCTATATGGGTATTTTAAAAAATTATTACCGTACTCATGGATAAGCCAAACCCAATTTTTCAAGTGTATTTTGGCACCTAAAATTCTTGGTTTATTCACGAGTATATACTGTAAAGCAGTAATTAAAAGTAAGCATTGGTTACTATTGGAATTATCTATATTTTCATGTTTTCACATCAAGCAAGTGTTTTATGCAAGATGTAGCATCAAATATTTAGAAAATGGGATATAAATATAAATAAATTAATTTGCTTTCAGGATATTAAAATGAGTAGACTAAATAAGTAATTTTACATCAAGAGCAGCTTTTTCCTCCTTTGAGTTATATGTGCATTGATTCTGGCAAATTGCACTTATAAACACTGATGGTGATATTCTGTGGAACATCTAAAAACTAAACAAATTCTGAATATATGTCATAGATTTGACTAAGCAATGACACCAGATGGTTCCCTTATAAAGTGAAGTATTATATACGAGGGTTACAAAGTAAAACTTTACAAACCCAATTGGTTTCTTTTTGTGTTTTCTTATATTTAGAAGACGTTTTAAATTTTTTTGCTCTCTCCTATTTTATATCAATATCAATAATATCAATAATATCAATAATATCAATAATAATAATAATAATAATAATAATAATATCCAACAAGAAGAGGATATCTGAAAAGAATGCATCACTTCTGGAAAGAACAACATCCAGAATCAGAAATAACAGAACAGAGACCAGCAGATCAATGTTGATTTATAACATGAAATAAAGTATTCACAGAAGTAGAATTGGAAGAACTGCAAAGGTCTACCCAGGGCAAAGAAATTGAAGCCTTGTCCGAAGTAGCTCAGACAGCAGAGACAATCCAGGGGGAGTTGGTAGTAGAGGAAACCAGCACTGCTATTAAATCATTCTCATTCCCAAACCAGGCACCTTCTCTCTGCCTTCTTGTCAGAAAGAACAAAGCCCTCTAACTTAAAAACAAGAGCAATTGAAAGAAAGAATAACTGAGCATCTATAACAGCACAAAGAACAGAATAAGGTTGCCTGCATTGAAGCTTCTAACAAAGAAACAGTTAGCACAAGTATTAAAAGATGCCAATACTGTAATATCAAATATAAGCACCAGCTCACTGCAAGAAACAAACCAACTGATGTACAGTATGGCTACAGTTATAACTGAATTCCTTGGATGCAAAGTCAACAAACAAGAAAAAAAGCCAAACACTGCACCACTAAAATGGAAGATCAGGTTGGAAAATATGATCAGCATGCTAAGATCAGATGCAAGCAAGCTAGAACGGATGAAAAAAAAGCTGAAGAACAAGAAGACCAAAGAATACCTGATCAAGAAATATCACCTAGAAACAAGGAAGATCAAAAAAGCACTGGAAATAATTAAAGCAGCAAATAACAGCCATAGCTAAGAAGATCAGCAGATACGACACACAAATTGCACACTACAGGCAGCATCTCCAATTACAGTTAAATCAGAAACTTTTCTACCAATCCATCAATGGAGAGACTGCAATTAACCAGTCAACACCTGACGACGAAGAAACAGTACAGTTCTGGGTGCAGCTATGGGACAACCCAAAAAAATACAACAAGAATGCAGCTTGGATAAAGGAGGTGGATA